CCATGATGCTAATGAATGCTTTGGCCCCATCCTACCCCATCCCAGGCTCTTCCCAAGGGTTCCATAGTGATTTTAGGATGTGTTCTGGGAGTCCGGTACCTCCACTTACCCCACCAGATTCAGAATCTTTCGGGTGTTTTTGCTTGCTACCCATGCACAACTGAATCTGGTTGGCACTCTTAAAGGAGCCACACTGTGTTAAAGAAAAGTCAGTAAAGTTGGATTGGTTTAAATATCAATTCTATTACTAGTACATGGCCTTAAACATATCTTCACCCCCTGAAAATGATTTTTCATCTATATTATGGGGTGAACAATCTCCCCTTCCATGAAAAAACGTCAGAACAATCAGCCGTGCAACTGACCACTCTTGATCATGTTTTGTTAGGCACACAAAGTCAGTGACAATGGTATCCGCAGGCACTCTGGTTTCCAGAACATAACTCTTCTTCTGTGAATGATATTCCTTGTTAGGTTTTCCACTAGGTCACCACCTCTCAGACCTTATTCTAGTGACAGAAATCTGTCAGAGAATACCCCCCATAAATTCTTAGGTTCTTTCCTGTCCCACTGCCTCTGTTGCTCCCCCCTAATAGTGAGAGTTTCCATTCTTGGCCACCTGGTAAAAGTCCTAACTGTGTTTGAATTTGGGGGGCATTTCATTTCTGGGGAAGTGACATTTCTGCCCTTCTGAGCCAGCAAGAGTGGAGGAACTGACTTCCTAGCCTACACATACACACACACACACACACACACACACACACACACACACACTTTCTAAATGAAGGTTGTGTCCTCCTTTTAGGAACAGACCCTGGAGGTGTACCCTGGAGGTGTCTGTAGTATTTATCAGGCTGCTGTGAAGAGTCTCCACATCAGCCTTAGGGATGTTTCCCTGAAGAACCAGGACTGCCTGGCAGGCCAGGGTATGAGGGAAGAGAGAAGGTTGTTGTCCTCAAGCCACTAAAGGGCTTTTGCTGCATGGTGGGCTTATTATAGGTAGTTTCAGAGAATAAAGCCAGTACTGAGCTGGGCTGGGTTGCACAAGTGTATAATCCCAGTACTTGGAAAGCTGAGGCAGGAGGAGCCTGAGTTTGAAGCAAACCTGAGCTACAGAGCAAGACCCTGTCGAAAACCCTCATCCTGCAAAAACTAAAAACAAACAAACAAACAAAAAAAACACTCCTAAAACTGGTCTCAATCAACGTAGGGAAGTGCAGGAGGCTGCTGCTTCTGCTCAGGGAAAGATAAGACTTCCAAGTGGAGAAATTTGCAACAGTGTAGACTTCCCCGACAGGGCCAGAGCTTCACCCCACCCAGTGAGTTACAGGGACCATTTGTTCAAGATTTCCCAAAGCCATAATACAGTGGTTCTCAACCTTCCCAATGTTTCGACCGTTTAATACAATTCCTCAGGTTCTAGTGACCCACAACCATAAAATTATTTTCATTGCTACTTCATAACTGCAATTTTTCTACTGTTATGAATTATAATATGAATGTCTGGTATTTCCAGTGGTCTTAGGTGACCCCTCTGAAAGAGTCATTTGACTCCCAAAGGGGTTGCAACCCACAGATTGAGAGCCAATTAATGGTTTTATGTAATTTAAGTTAAATTAATCTTGTTAAGTTTATAACAAGGAATAATTTGATATTGTGTCCCTGTTTGTTTGACATATGTGTGTGTATGGGGACAGGGGTTCTGTGATTAGGTTGAATGTACTGATTTTTCAGGTCTTAAAATAGACTCCTATATTTAGGTAGACATAAAGAAGCCCCAACTTTCAGATCTATAGTAAGTAGGATGCTGTGAGTGACTTAGTGTGAAAAGATGGGAATGGATTCCAGGCTCTGCCCTTATGCCAGGTCAGCTTTAGTTCAATAGACAATGCTAAACCTATTCCCCATACTGGGTTGCGTCCCCCAGAGGCAATACAAAGTCAGGAGCTTAGTCCTACCTCAACTTAATTTGCCATGCTTTCTTGACACCCATGGGAGGCCTGCCCCTTTCTGAACAGAAACAGAGGAGTGGATGGGGGAGGGACAGGAGGGATGGGAAGGGAATGAATGGGAGGAGAGGAGGGGTGGGAAACTACAGACAGGATGTAAAATAAATAAAAAATTAGTATTAAAAGAAACCTAACGTCCATTACAAGAGAGGAGAGAAGGCAAAAGCTACTGGGCACTAGACATTTGGTTCGTACATCGAACATCTCATATTTTAGCAAGTGAACTTACTTGTAACAGTATCACAAACTGCTGGTTTTCTATATGTAAAACAAAAGCTCCTAGAGTTCAACAAGAGACAGCCAGATTCAAAATAGGGCAAATAACAACAATAACAACAATAATAATAATGTGTGCCGATTACATGGAATAAGAGATATGAGCATTTTAATCATTTGACGGATACTCAGATTCATGAGAGAAATTCATTTTGAAATGACAGTGGAAGCCACCTCACAGCTATAAGGATGGCTTAGACTTTGAAAAACAAATCAGAAAAGCGTTGGCAAGGATGTGGAGAAATCAGCCACTCTGTGCCTTTGATGGGAAAATGAACTACTACTGTTGAACAGTGGTTCCTCCAAGAGTTTAAAATAGAATTTCCATATGACCTACCCTTCCATTTCTCAGTTTGCATCTAAAGAAGTGAAAGCAGAAATCTGGGGAGAAATTTGGATGTCCACATCCACTGCAGTATTTTACCGTACTCAGAAGGCAAACATGATTCAAGCAGCCACCTACTGATGAGCAGTGTGAGAATCTTTACAAGTCTGGAAATTCAGGCAGGTGCCATGGTACAGATGGGCCCTGGTGGTGGGGCCCTTGTGGCACCCCCTCGATAAGTGAAGCAAACCCACCGCAGAAAGTTAAATACTGTAAGGCTCCACTCATATTAAAGGAGTCAGATCCATGGAGACAAAAGGTGGTGTTTAAGAGGGTGACAAACAGGGAGAAGGGACAATCACTGTTTACCGAGCCCAGAGTTTCCATCTTGCAAAATGAAAAGACTTCGGGAGATGATGGTGTTGGAAATTGCATTTCACGTTTGAAAATGATTACTCTAGTACATTTTGTGTTTATTTTACCACACTAAATGTAATTTTAAAAAAATTACAATGAGAGGCCCAAGGAATTCACTTAATAGAACACTTGCCTGGCATGCATAAGGCCCTGGGTTCAATTCCAGGCATTGCCAAAAATTTATAATGATGTGTCATTTTAACCTTTAAATGGTACAGATCATAAATTAGAAAACATACCAAAAAATGATGTGAAAATAAGCAGCGGCCTGTTGATGGAAGTTTTATAATGTATAATAGGGGAGGGCATAAGTCTGTGTCTGTGGAAGCTAAAATTGCTTACTCTTTAATCCTTGGTCAAGCAATTCTGCTTCCAGGAAACAGCCAGCTCCTGCAGGTGTGAGAGAGTTTGGGTTTTCATTACAAGAAAAGATTGGGAACAACTTATATATCTGTCAAATGGCTATTTGTATCAAGTAGACTACAGTAGATTAATATGCAACTATTTATATAAGGGTGCTAATTTATACAGCTTTAATATAACCCCCCAATCTGGTAGTACATGTGAAAAACTATGTACTGAATACTACTATTTGTTTTTTAAAATGACATAAGAATACACACAGATCTGTGGTATTATTTTTGTTTTGTGTGTGTCTAAAATAACTCTAAGTGAAGGCAAGAAACTGGCAACAGGAAACAATGGTCATTCCAGGCGCCTCTTTGCAAAGAAAGTTAGATGGCCTAGGACTAGAGCTGAGAGAGACAGACTTGCTTTCTACTGTTGATCACTGTGATAGTTAATAATGGCTACCAACTTGACAGGATCTAAGGTCACCTAGGAGACACATCTGAGTGTGCCTGTAAGTGAATTTCTAGACTGGGTTAATTAAAGTAGTGCAATACACCTTAAATGTAGGCTGTGACATTCCATGGGCTAGAGTGTCAGGCTGAATAGAAAGGACAGGGTGAATACCAGTCTCTCTCAGCTCCCTGACTGAGGGTCCAATGTGACCAAGTGCCTCGAGGTCCCACCCCAACTCCTTCCCTGCTATGATGGACTGTACCCCAAAATCTGTGAACTCTCTGTCAGATATTTTGTTGCAACAGCAAGAGAATTAACTAAATACCTCACCTTTACAAAAACAAAACAAAACAAAACAAAACAAAAGAAACAAGGTCTCTCTATAGACTCCTATTGGCCTAAAACTCAATGAAAGAGGTGGATGTCTATAGGTGGATGTCTAACTCTGCCTCCCAAGTGCTGGGATTAAATGTGTGTGCTACTGTGTCTAAGAATCACCTTTACTTTTAAGCTTTTGTGCTATGTGCAGGTATAATCTCTAAAAATTCTTAATTAAAAATTACAGTCTAGAAAGATTAAAATACACACACACACACACACACACACACACACACACACACACACACACCAAAACAAAACATTGGCCCATTCTCTGTGCTAAGTACTTTAAAAACAGAAGAAAAGATACATGCACAGAAGGATGGAGAATGACGTCAGACAACCCATCTTCTAAGGGAGAAATTTCTGCTATTGAGTAAATAATGTGTGTCTTCCCTAAGTACCAGTTTCCTGTTATGTGTAAAGCCGGGTGTTAACCCACCTGCTAGGTTTCCTTTTGACATTGGCCATTAAAAAGCTATAAGCCAAACTTGTGTGCCACTCAGTGCAAGATGGCATATTTCCATGGCATGTCCCTAAATCCTAGGCATTTGGCATTGGCCTTGTCTTGGGATCTGCTCCATACTGTTGTAATTGGTTTGGTTTTCCACCATTTTCTAATGTTGGTCCTTATCCTGTGTTCTCTGTTAAGCCCCAGAATCATTTTGGTCTATGGTGAGTGGACAAGTAGAGAAGCAGGGAGAAAAGGAGAGGAAGAAGGGGCTAGATATTGTAAAGCCATGTGTGACTTCCTAACTAAGTTGTATCTTGTCTTTTTAAACTCTAGCACCATGAAATTGGGAGTCCTCTTTGTGATGGTCTTCATGCTCTCAGGTAAGCACTGTCTCCCTGTGTGAGGCCCTTTACTCCTTCCGCTGTCTCCCAGTGAGTGGAACCACTGCAAGCCCAGGCCTGAGTGTTGGTGGGGTTTTCTCTGCATTGACTTGAGTGCCTAAGACTCCGTAGCAAATAACTTTTCTGGAGACCAAGGAAGGGTCAGGATCGAGACCAGGTGTCTCTAATCTGGTCATTCCCTGCTCTTCCATGAAACACCCAGGGTCTGGACACACAGCAAAGATGGAGTGTCCCGTCCAGGGCTCCTGGAGGGCTACGGAAGGCCATTGTCATGAAGCCTCTGACTTGACTCCACAGGACACACTCTGGCCTTTCTGTCCCCGTTTCCAGTATTCTCAATCCCTTGGGAAACAGCTGGTGGGCTTTAAAAAGCTTCTTGCAGCACTGCTTCATGCCCACACCCTTCTCCCTTAGCCTGTGCCCTAGTTCATACTAGTCACGCTCTGTGACCCTGGACCTCCAGCTCTCATGCCTGTCAATGCACCATGAAGCTAAGGAAGCTGCTGCCTCAGGGTTCCTCCTTGCACAGATCCCCCTTTCTAACCCTGTAAAGACTCCAGGAGGGCCCTAGCACTTACCATGTCTTGTGACTTGGTAAGATATGGATAAGATAATGCAGTTAATTAAGATTACCCCCTCCCACAAACAATGACAACCCCACCCCCATTACAGTCTCCTCTTGCTGGGTGACATTTTGCATTTGAATTGTGTGATCTTTTTCTTCCTATTTTTTTCCATTTTTTTATTTGAATTAGAAACAAGATTGTTTTACATTTCTATGCCTCTCCCTCCCCTCCTCCCCTACCACCCCACAACTAAAACCCTACCTATCACATAACCTTTCTGCTCCCCAGGGAGGGTGAGGCCTTCCATAGAATGTCTTCAGGATCTTTCATATCCTTTGGGATAGGACCTAGGCCCCGTGTATCTTGGCTCAGGGAGTATCCCTTTATGTGGAATGGGCTCCCAAAGTCCGCACCTATGCTAGGGATAAGTACTGATCTACTACAGGAAGCCCCAAGGATTTCTGAGGTCTCTCACTGACACCCACATTCCTGGGGTCTGGATCAGTCCTGTGCCGGTTTCCCAGCTATCAGTCTGGGGACCAAGAGCTCCCCCTTGTTCAGGTCAGCTGTTTCTGTGGGTTTCACCAGCCTGGTCTGGACCCCTTTGCTTATCACTCCTCCTTCTCTGCAACTGGATTCCAGTTCAGTTCAGTGATTAGCTGTGGGTGTCCGCTGCTACTTCCACCAGCTGTTGGATGAAGGCTATAGGGTAGCATATAAGTCAGTCATCAATCTCATTATCAGGGGAGGGCATTTAAGGTAGCCTCTCCTCTGTTGCTTAGATTGTTAGTTGGTGTCATCTTTGTAGATCTCCAGACATTTCCCTAGTGCCTGATTTCTCTTTAAGCCTAAAATGTCTCCCTCTATTATGGTATCTCTTATCTTCTTTTCTTCTATTCTTCCCCCAACTCAACCTTTCTGCTCCCTCATGTCCTCCTCACCCCACCTCTTCTCCCCTTCTCATTCTCCTAGCTCCCTCTCCCCTCCCCCCATTCTCCCAATTTGCTCAGGAGATCTTGTCCCTTTCCCCTTCTCCAGGGGATCATGTATGTCTTAGAGTCCTCCTTGTTACCTAGCTTCTCTGGCGGTGTGGATTGTAGGCTGGTAATCTTTTGCTCTATGTCTAAAATCCATATATGAGTGAGTACATACCATGTTTGTCTTTTTGTGATTGGGTTACCTGGCTCAGAATGGTTTCTTCTAGTTCCATCCATTTGCCTGTGAATTTCAAGATTCCATTTTTTTTTCTGCTAAGTAGTACTCCATTGTGTAAATGTACCACATTTTCTCTATCCATTCTTCAGTTGAGGGGCATCTAGGATGCTTCCAGGTTCTGGCTATTACAAATAATTCTGCTATGAACATAGTTGAACAGATGTCCTTGTTGTATGAATGTGCATCTTTTGGATATATGCATAAGAGTGGAATTGCTGGATCTTGTGACCAACTGATTCCCATTTTCCTGAGGAACTGCCATACTGATTTCCAAAGTGGCTGTACAAGTTGGCACTCCCACTAGCAGTGAAGGTGTGTTCCCTTTCTCCACATCCTCTCCAGCATAGACTGTCATTGGTGTGTTTGATTTTAGCCATTCTGACTGGAGTAAGATGGTATCTCAGAGTTGTTTTGATTTGCATTTCCCTGATGGCTAAGGATGTTGAGCACTTTCTTAAGTGTTTATCAGCCATTTTAGATTCCTCTATTGAGAATTCTCTAGTTCTGTACGCCACTTTTTAATTGGATTAGTTGGTATTTTGCTGACTAGCTTCTTGAGTTCTTTGTATATTTTGGAAATCAGCCCTCTGTCAGATGTGGGGTTGGTACATATCTTTTCCCATTCCGTGGGCTGCCGTTTTGTCTTGCTGACTGTGTCCTTTGCCTTACAAAAGCTTCTCAGTTTTAGGAGGTCCCATTTATTAATTGTCAATCTCAGTGTCTGTGCTGCTGGTGTGATGTTCAGGAAGCAGTCTCCTATACCAATTAAAGTTTAGATTTGTAAGGCCTCCCAGGACTCAGCCCTTCCCTGCCCACTGCCCTTCTTTGGGATGCATCTCTAAGCAGCTGGCTGGAGACCCCCCCATGCATCCTGCAATGCAATGTTGCTTTGTTACTGTTAGCCCACCCTTTCCTGTTACTCATTTTCTCCACCTCATCTGTCCTGGAGGCTATCTCAATCTTAATGACAGGCAGACAGGACAGCTGAGCTTGCAGTGTGCCTGAAGCATCTGCAGGCCACCCTGACCACCTGGCCTCTGATTAACCAACTCAACCACAAAACCACCTCCTCCATAATTGTCACACAACAGCCTCTAGGCCACTGTCCTCAACCCTGGATGGGTGAGGAGGAACTGGGCATTGTGAAAAGATAGTCCTTCAGACCTCAGCAAATAGACACAAGCCTTTTGTGATTTGTGGTTTCTGCTTAGCACCATAGCTTGCTGAGGCCACCAGTGTGAAGTCTACAGGTGTTCACCATCAGCAATGTAGGTGAGAACAACAGCTTTCACCTGCCAGGGCCAATGACCTGGATTCTCACCTGTGGAGGTGGAAAGGCAATGTTTACACACAAATATCAGGGGTGGGGAGACAAAGATAGGTTGTGCATGTGTATGCATGCAGGTGCTCGTGTGTGTGTGTGTGTGTGTGTGTGTGTGTGTGTGTGTGTGGTATACATATGTGTGTGCATACATGTTTGTGCCTGTATGTGCATGTGTATGGCTGTGTGTGTGTGTGTGTGTGTGTGTGTGTGTAGTATACATATGTGTGTGCATACATGTTTGTGCCTGTATGTGCATGTGTATGGCTGTGTGTGTGTGTGTGTGTGTGTGTGTGTGTGTGTGTCTCTGTCTGTCTGTCTGTCTGTCTGTGTGTCTGTGTGTGTTCAGGTACAGTGCTGAGCACTTTATAAATAACAATTCATTTAAAAATCCCAATAACTTGCTGCATTATTATTCCCCATTTTAAGACAAGGTCCCTAAAGTACAGAGAAACTTAAGTAACTGACCTAAGATCAACACACCTCCTAATGGAAGAGCCCAGATTCATACCCAGCAGTACTAGGTTGAATATCACTAATGTGTGATTCAGGCTATTTCTCCTGCTCCCGAGGCAACTACACGTGGCAGGCTCTGTGTTTTTTGTTTGTTTGTTTGTTTGTTTTTTCTTTTTTTGGTTTTTGGTTTTTGGTTTGGTTTAGTTTGGTTTTCTTTTTTGTGACTCAAATAGCTCTGATGGATGATATCGCTTCAGCTTCGTTCTTTCTTGATGACAAGTTGCCTCCTTCATGTCCTCCTCTTTCCTTAAACCACACCTCAGATGTTCAGATGTCCTTAAGGTTTAGGTCTTAGCCCTCCCAGTGACAAGCCTAGCTTTTATGACCTGGAAGAGAAATGTCCTGGTAACAAATATTCAGTAACAGCTTAACCCAGACAGCTTCCCTGCCCTAGACTTTCTGGCTCTGCCCTTTGAAAGTGAGCAAGTAAACCTGAGAAACCTGTCAAAACCAAGGGCAGGTGTTACTTCATTTTTGACCTGCTTTGAAACTGTGTGGAAACTCCTAGCTCCTGTAAAGGGAGGTGATGATATTGAAACTGTAAGAGAAAACAAAACAAAACAAAACAAAACCAAACCTCATGGATGATAACCGATTGGGGATGTATGTGAAAAAGATATGTGTTGGGGAAGAACAGACTTAAAGATGGTAGGAAAACAGCATCAACCACCAAAAAATGAACTTGCCAGTTATTCCTTCACTTATCACGAAAAGCAATGATAAAACCGTCACCATCCATTTTTCAACCTTTCATTTTTTACTATCTTAATCATTTTTTTTTTTTTTGGTTTTTCGAGACAGGGTTTCTCTGTGTGTGGAGGCTGTCCTGGAACTAGCTCTTGTAGACCAGGCTGGTCTCAAACTCACAGAGATCCACCTGCCTCTGCCTCCCGAGTGCTGGGATTAAAGGCGTGCGCCACCAACGCCCGGCTATCTTAATCATTTATAAGTATACTTCTCTAGTTTGTCTTTCTGAAAATTACAAACATGTATACAATGTGTCCTGGTCATATCCACCCATTCCTTTCCTCCAACCCCTCAGTCCCCCCTAAGATATCTCCCATCTCCCTCTCAACCTTGACTATGCATACATGGGACAGCTGAATCTACAACCCTAATCCCCAAGGCCCATCGAGCATCACCAGAGAGAGGAGGGGTGGGAAGAATGTAAGAATCAGAGGAGGAGGGCTGTGAACCGCTGGTCTCTGGACATGACATGGCTGTTACACATGTGAATTCACAGCGGCCATGGTTATATGCACAAGACAACCACGAGATCAAGAGAGTTAAAAGTTCCAGCAAGGAGCAGGAAGGAGCTCATGCCCACCCCTAGCTGAAGAGCTAATGGTGGTGGATGGCTA